TGTGGATATACCACAGCTTCTCTATCCATTCGTTTGTTGATGGGCCCTTAGGCTGCTTCCAACTCTTTGCTATTGTAAACAAAGCTGCAATAAACATGGGTGTGCAAGAAACAGGTATTTTAATGAAATAGGTATTTGAGTTAGGAGGGAACGGCCCCTGGGAAAAAAAATAACATGCTTGGAAAAGTGGAGAGTCAGCGAAAGAGGAAGACACCCAACATGATGGGTCGATACAGTCCTATAGCGATGGGTTCGAGCGTCAGGGTTGGTGAGGATGGACAGGACGGGGCAGGCTTTGTTGTTCTTAGGGTCGCTGGGAGTCACAGCCAACTCAATGACACCTAACAACAACCACGATACCAAAATAGACACTTGCTTGTGTAAATACTAAAGCTATGTGCTGTGGGTCGTGATTGGGTGTCATGTGGCAGAGCCTCCAGCATGACAGCAATACACAAGCCACCACAGTTCAGCAAATTGACAGCCAAGCAATGGAATACAAGTCAAGGATTTCCTTTGACTGGGACCGGTCAACATTCGTTGTCAACATCAGTTGCCATCAGTCAACAATCAACATCCTTGGCAGAAGCAAAGTTGCTCTGTCAAGGACTTGTTTAGAGCAGGTGTCCTGACCCAAGGCCTGGTATTTTCAGTTGCTTCATATTCATGTGAAAGTAAATAAGAAGGTCAAAGAAGGAGTGAGGCCTTTGAATTGCAGTGTGATCAAACTGTCTCCTATGGACAGAATTAGCCCAAAGGAATGGAGATATGAGTGATCACACCAGATGGTGGTGTAATACTAAACTGTTTTGAGACCAGCTTATAACTGATGCCGAGTAAAAAAAGCACTGTTTACCCAACAAAATATGGCATTATTGAAGAAATAATGTACATTTAAAACAGTGAAAGAAGTGATTACTTTAAAAATTAGGATGGTGGTTACTTTTGGATAATATATGAACTGTGACTGAAATCAGGGCACACGAGGGCTGCCAGGTAGTGGCTACGAGGGTTTTCACTTTAAGATAGCACATTCTCACTCACTCCTTGCGTCATGTCAGAAGCGGCTCATCGCTGACCCTCCAGTGGGTTTTTTGAAACTATAAATCACACAGAAGGAGATTACCCTTCTCTCCCCCTTAAAGCTGCTGGTGGGTTTGAACCACTTGAGAGGCAGGATCTTCAGTTAGCAACTCCCTATGGACTAAACTATCAGAGCTAAGGCACTAAACTCTAGACAACGGGCTTGGCTATGAAGAGAATACAGAAGAGCTGTGACATAAAAGGGGTTGTGTCTGTCTAACAATGGCAGACGGGAGTGAGCCTTTTCAATTAATAACTATCCTTGTCCCTCTCCTCTCTGCTCCACTGTTGACACTCTTCCTATTCCTCTGTGGCCTCTATTTTACACTGGGAGAACTGAGGCCCAGGGAGATATGGTGTGCCTGCTCACAGCTCATCAAGGGCAGAGGCTGCTGGTACCCAGGCCTTCCACCTCTGGCCCCGTGCAGGAGTGCGTAGGGCCTGCTGGCTCACCCACGGCCGCCTTCTCCCCCACAGGAATCACTGAGATTCTGATGAACAGACCCCACGCCCGAAACGCCCTGGGGAATGTCTTCGTAAGTGAGGTGAGTGAAAGTGAGCCCCAGGGTGGGAGGTATTGTGCTGGCAGATGCCAACCTGACAGTCTCCTCTTCAGCTGCTGGAAGCTCTGACCAGGCTGCGGGAGGACCGGCAGGTGCGGGTCCTGCTCTTCAGAAGTGGTGTGAAGGGGGTGTTCTGTGCAGGTGAGTGCCCTTGCCTAGGGTGGCACAGCTAAGCCAAGCTCGAAGACAGTGTGAACTTAGCTTCCTACTACCCAGTGATCTATTCTGACCCTTCACTGAAGAAACAGCCCGAAGATGCTGACAGGGTCAGTGAGTGGTCAAGGTGGGACTCCGTGTCAACCCTAAGGATCTCAGTCCTTATTGCCAAAACTCTCCACTGTCCCTGTGTCATTTGATCATTCCAACAGCAGTCACCTTGAACTTTGCTTTCCAAGATAGGAAATACCTCACACCAGGGTCATGACATGAAACCAAGTCCTGAGAGCTGAGCTGAGAACGAACCTAGGCATCCCGGCTCCTGAGTGGATGACTCGGGAGGAGGCAACTGAGGTGTCTAGAGAGGTGGGAAGAATGAGTGGGCTGGGGAGGGGGCATGATTTTTAGGAATTCGATATTAGGATTGGAGCTCCCAGCTTGGGGCCCTGGTCCCTGAGCAGACTAGGGGCCTCACTCAGCTTCCCTGGCTGGGGGCCTCACCCCCTGGCTTTCAACATTGGCCCTATTTAGACTTCTTCAGGCTCCATGTAAGGCAACCTTGTGGTCACAGCTGAGAACAGGAAGGAGGGTTGCCATAGGAGGCCTGGCTCTGCCCCTGACTTGCTCTGGAATCCTAAATCTCTCTGCTGCTCTCTCACTTTATTTGCCATCACAGAACGGGGTCCAATAAATCAAGGCTTCCCAGGGCTACACTCTAGGATTCAGGGGGTCTACATTTAACTACATTAGCTGTTGCCTCAAGAGCCCTACCATGGTCACTGTTCTTTCAAAATCCTTGCCCGCTCTGTGCCACTTCATCCCATTCTTAGGTGACCTCTCCGCCTCCTCAGATCCCATTGATCTCTCTCTTTTCAACTCCTTCTCCCTGTCATCCTTGACCTCTTTCCTGTGTTTCTCTTCTGGCTGCTCCTCAAATCTGCTGGATCCTTTAACAGACTGAGATTATTTGAGGGCTGGTCATTGTAACGTGGCTGTCACTGCCCCTCACTGCCTGCAGGTGCAGACCTAAAGGAGCGGGAGCAGATGAATGACGCGGAGGTGGCAGTCTTTGTCCAGCGGCTCCGAGCCCTGATGAATGACATCGGTGAGGGTGCTAGGGTGAGGGTGTGCCTGCAGCTCCCAGCCCCACCCTTTAAAGAGAAATTGTAGTTAGTTCTGGGGATACAGATAAACTCCTCCAGGGAGGATAGGCACAAGGAATTCTACAAGGGAAAGGTGGAAGGAGGGTACAGAGGTCATTTCTCCCAGAGGGGAGCGCTCACTCCTCAGCTTTGTTCTGCTGGGTCGACCCACCTGCCCTCACATCTTAAGTCTAGCCATTCCAGAGTAGCCAAGGTTCGGGCATGCTTTCAGGCTTTGACAAAGCTAGGCCCCTTTGTCTAGAACATCATTTCTTAGTCATCTGAACTTCTACTCATCCTGCAAAACACCTTTTTCCAGGAAGCTTTCCTTTTCTGCCTGTTTGTTCAGACTGAGCCTCAGGGAAGTGACCATGTCTGGTTGAGTTGTGTGTTCCCAGTACTCAGTCAGGACCTGCACACAGAACAAGAAGGGGAAAACCGGAAGAGGCAGAGAAGCCACTAGGATAGCGGGCTGGAGCGGAGTCTATTCCAGCCAGTCTCCTTAGTACTGTTCCCCCTACTTTTCTCTAATGGTAATCTAGTGGAGGTACCAGGTGATGTCCTAAAACCTAGGACTAGTAAGGCCTTCTGTTCCAACCAGCATGTCTCTCCCCAGCTTTAAGTCCCTGTCTTGGTTCAGCCAGGACCTGGCAGGCTGAGTCCTTCTTTGTTTCTACAGCAGCCTTCCCTGCCCCCACCATTGCAGCTATGGATGGATTTGCCTTAGGTGGAGGCTTGGAACTTGCCCTGGCCTGTGACCTCCGAGTGGCAGGTACATATGGGGTGAGGTGGGGTCGGGCGGGGGGAAGTGGGTCAGTCTGGGGCCCTGCAAAGTCAGCCAGCACTCTTCCAACCAAGACAAAGCTAGGAGCAGAGTGACAACACAGAGGGAACTCAAGCAAGGCCCTGCTACAATACTTTTCTCTCTTACAAATTGATCCCCTCATCTTCAGATGACTCCACCAGTCTCACCAATTGCTGACAGGACAATAACAAGAGCATGGAGGTGAAGGCCAAGGACAGATGTCTGTTGGGCCTTCTAGTTCGGTCAAAGGTCAACTACATTGTTATTTTGAGCAAAGTTGTATCAGCAGGACAGTCTTGCTGCCAGCTTAGCTATTACAAACCTGCCCTGGCAGGATCAGTACCCTCTGGTACACTGTGCTAGCCAGGGTTTCACCGGGCCCAAATTAACAGGTCAAGTCACCACCTCAACTGTGCTCCTTACCTATGCTTTGACCACATAACTCCCCAGGTGTCACTTGAGGCCTGAGGGAGATAATGTGTGAACCCTCCCATGAATGGCAATGGTGGCTGTTCCCTTCTGCTCACATGGCACGTTCAGGTGGTCTGTACTGAGGGAATCCTGGGGAGGAAAGAGGCCTATGGGAGGAACCATCATGGACTCTCTCTCCAAGGATGTGTAACTTGGAAAAGGAGCTTGAACTGGAACACAAGGAAAGTTCCGGCTGTGGAGAAAAGCTGGGAATCACGGTGGGAAAAACATCACTGCCATGCTGGGCCTGGCCAGAACCAAGATGCAGGTGGATCTGTTTACCCACAGTAGTTGCTAGGTGTCTTCTAACAGCCCCAAGCACCATTACTTCATCAGATCCTTAGCCTCCCTTTGAAGCAAGGTGCTTCATTGTCTTCCCACCTGCGAGGCCCAGAAAACACCTGCCCAGTATCACACCTCTGCCAGCAGGAAGCAGTGGGGGTGAAAGCCTGGCCTCCTGATTCCCAGGCTAGACTTTCTCAGTGCAGCTATGGATGTGGGTGCCTTTGGTGTTGACTGGAGCTTGCCCTGTGGCCTCCGGTTGGCAGGTACCACATGAAGAAGCAGGGTAAGGTGGGGTAGAAAGAATGAAACCCGAGTAAGTCAGGGGCTCTGCAAAGTCAGCCACTGCTCTTCCAACTGAGACAAAAGTGGACGCAGGACAAGGACTCAGAGTGCAGGCTGACCATTAGGAAGGTGGTTGGAGGGGCAGGGGAGACCAGAGGTGGGTGACTTCTCTCCTTTGGGGGTCTGGCCCTGGGGGGTAGAGTAGAAGCTTCACTCTGTTCTGTCTGAACAGCTTCTTCGGCTGTCATGGGGCTGATCGAGACTACGCGTGGGCTCCTCCCAGGGGCAGGTAACCTCACCCACCACACCCTCCCTTTCTCCTCTACCTGCCTCATGTCCCTCTCCCCAAGGTACTGCGTTCTGGACCCCATCTTTCTATATCCTCAGAATCAGCTCCTTGGAGTCTTGGCTGATTGCTGGGCTGGGCCTTCTCTGGGCTCCAATTTTCCATACTAAGCCCCACCGCGTGTTGGCTCATCCTGACAGGAGGGACTCAGCGGCTGCCCCGCTGCCTCGGGGTGGCACTGGCAAAGGAGCTCATCTTTACTGGCAGACAGCTGACTGGGGCCGAGGCCCAGGCGATGGGTCTGGTGAATCACGCAGTGGCCCAGAACAAGGACGGCGACGCAGCCTACCGCCGGGCACAAGCGCTGGCCCAGGAGATCCTGCCCCAGGTTTGGTGACCGCAGAAGAGGGAGGGAGGGGTAAGGGAGGAAGGGAACGATGCAGCACATGCAGGGGGCCAGGGTGTGCTGTGGAAGTGTGGAGGAACCAACCATTCACCCAAAATCATTAACCTTCTTTGGAGTGTTTGCATCCATTAGGCTATCCTGTAAGCAAAATGAAGTCAAATTTTAAATTTAATTCTGAGGAACTAAAATGTACTTGAAAGCCTTGTCTACCATTGTCCAGTGGAACTTTCTGTGACAATGAAATGGACTGTTGGTGCTATCCAGTGTGGTGGCCACTAGCCATGTAGTAAATGAAAACATTCCATTTCCCAGAGGTACCGGCCATTTTCAAGTCCTCAGTAGCCAGATGTGGCTTGAAGCCAGTGAAAAAGCAGATACTAGAGCAGATATACAGGACTAACTATCAGGTTTCCTACATGGCAGAGAACTATAACATCATTTAGAGCATGTGTGGTAACTTCGTGGTAAGAAGCTGCGCTGCAGTCCTGAAGGCACGCAGCTCTGCAGAAGGATAGGCAGTCTCCTTCCGTGCGATTTACTGCCTCTGGAAACCAGCTGTGGGTCAGTTACAATTCGATGGTACACAACAACAAAGCATGTTTTAAAACGCATTCATTAAAAAGAAAATCCTATCTCCCTCCTGCTAAAAAGTTTAGAAAGGCTTGCCATGGCCTAGGTTCAGGTCCTTGTCAAGCACAAAATAGCAAGGCCCAAAGCCAGAATCTGGCTGGCTAGAGTCTCCCAGGCCCTAGGAGAGGTCTGTGCTGCCTTAAATTCTGAAAGCAGCTAAATGGACACAGGTGCAGCCACTTAAACCGAGCCTGTACTGAACTCTGCCCATTTGTGATAACAGAGCCGCTCAATTATTAGAACAATCTAAGCGCTGGTGGCCAAGTGGCAAGAAGCTGCATTGTAATCCCAAAGCCACGCAGTTCAAGTCCACCAGCTTGCTCTGCGGGAGAAGGATGGGCACTCTCCTCTGAAAACCCACTGGAGGGTCAGCTATGGGTCAGTTCTGACTCGATGGTACACAACAACAACAACAATTGCAGAATACCCATTTTACCTGTGAGGAAACATAAGAAAATCCAGTAGGGGTCAAGAAACTTGCTTGTCAAAATCATGCAAGCACTTGTAGTAAGAGGAACAAGCATGGTAATGTGTTTAGTTTGCACAACAGGAACAGAGGATCAAAACTCATCTTCTTAAGAGTACAGAAAACAAGTAAAATTTTTCAAACCATGAGGTTAAATATCTCAGGCAAAAATTGAATAAACATGTTATAAAACAAAGTTGAACTATAACTATAGAAATGTTAACAATATATAACTAACAGATAAAATTACTTGAATTACAACCTATTGAAGAAATGGTGCTGGCAAAACTGGACTGCTACCTGCAGAAGGCTGAAACAGGATCCACTTCTTACACCATTCATAAAAATCAACTCAAGGTGGATCAAAGAGACCTGGGAGTAAAGCCCCAAACCATAAAGTTCATCAGTGACAAACTGGATCAAGCTTAGATGGCCTACTCTAGGGTATAAAGAGACTGCGTAATACAGCACAATCTGGAGATGATAAAATTGATGAATGGGACCTTCTAAAGATTAAATCCCTGTGCACATCAAAAACTTTTTCCAACAGAATGAAAAGGAAACCTCTGATTGGGAAAAAACATTTGGCAATACCATTTCAGACAAGGGTCTCACATCACAAGTTTACAGAATCCTACAAGGCCTCCACAGAAAAAAGACTGATCACACAATTACAAAATGGGCAAAAGACATGGGAAGACTTCTCACAGAGGAAGGTATTCGATGGCCAACAGACACATGAAGAAATGCTCCAAATTACTGACAATAAGAGAGATGCAAATAAAACCCACATTGAGATACCATCTCACCCAAATAGCAGTGGCAAAGTTTAACAAAACAGCAAATAATAAATACTGGAGAGGATGTGGCAAGATAGGAACTCTTCTACACTGTTAGTGGGATTGTAAAATGGTACAACCATATCTTCTCACCCCAGTAAGAATAGCAAAAGTCAACAGAGCAGCAAACGCTGAAGAGGTTGTGGAGAAACTGGAACCCTTATGCACTGTTGGTGTGAGTGTAAAATGGTGCAACCACTATGGAAAGCAGTATGGCACTTTCTCAAAAAGTTTTAAATAGAAATACTATTTGACCCAACAATTCCACTACTGGAAATATACTCTAAAGAAATCAGAACTGTCACCCAAGCAGATATATACACACCCATGTTTATTGCTGCTTTATTCACAATAGCAGAGAGTTAGAAACAACCCAAGTGCCCATCAACAAACGAATGGATAGAGAATGTGTGGTACAGTAACACAATGGAATACTATGCTGCATTGAAAAATAAGGAACTCGTGAAATATACAAAATGGGTGACTCTGGAGGACATTATGATGAGTGAAATATCTGTCACAAAAGGATAAATACTGCATGGTGCCACTGTTGTAAAATGGGATCGACATCGGGTTTGGAGAGAACCTAAGAAAAGATAAATAATGTACACTGCATTGAAACAGATGAGGGAGAGAACTGTTTAAAAGGAATATATAATTAGGTATTATTTTAATGACAAGAGTCCAGAATAAGAGCTGCATAGTAAAGTGGACTGGGAGGGGGGGAGGTAGGATTGTATAACAATGAAAGAAATTTTTTTTCTTTTCAAAGAAAAAAGCAAACTAGGCAGGGAGGGGTGGGCAGGGAGGAAAATGTGCAACACTGTATGAATGGAAATCTAAAGTCTCTGTAAACTTTCATTAAAATTTTAAATAAAAAATATATTTTCTTAAAAAATGATACAACCACTCTGGAAGGCAGTTTGGCATTTCCTCAGAAAGCTGAACATAGAAATTCCATATGACCCAGCAATTCCACTGCTTGGAATATATCCTGAGAAAATGAGAACTGAGGCACAAATTGAGATTTGTATACTAATGTTCATAGCAGCGTTATTCACCATTTCAGGAGCCTGGAAACTGCCGAAATGTCAAACCACAGTCGAAAGAATTGAAAAGTTATGGTACATTCACACAATGGAATATTATTACACAACACACAGGAAAAATGATTTTGTAAATCACTAACTTGGACCAAGAGGCAGCCATCAGAACAGAGCAGGGAAACACTGCATGGTTCAAAACTGGGAAAGGTGTACGCCAGGGATGTGTCCTATCTCCATACCTTTTCAACCTGTGTTGCAGAACAGATTATCTGAGAGGCTGGGCTCTATGAGGAGAAGTGTGGCATCAGAATTGGTGGAAGATCTATTAACAATCTGTGTTATGCAGATGACACAACCCTGCTTGCTGAAACTGAGGAGGACCTGAAATGCTTGCTGCAGAGGGTCAAGG